TTTTTTTTTTTTTTTTTTTTTTTTTTTTTAAGAGATGGGACACTACTGGGAATAGAAAAAAAGTGTCTTGATTACTACATCTCAAAATTTTTGCTTAGGATTTGATTTTCCAAAATAAAACCAACTTGAATTTTTCTAAAAGTATCATTCTTAAGCAAAAAATATTCAATTATGGAATTGATAAGAAAAATTATGGATTTTTATTGATTTTGAGTTCTGACAGATAATTAGCAATTAGGTAACCAAAGAAGCTGGCAACGTACTTAGAGATGGCTGTTCCAGAGAGAATCTTAGCCGTATGCTGACTCTTATCAGCGCTCATTTTCACGCCTGTAAGAATAACAAAAAAAGAAAGAAACCATTAAAGACAGCTTTAAACATTAGAACTAATAGAAATAAATGGATTAGAGGTAAATTGCTTGGATGATTAGATTCATTTTAACTGATCAATAAAATGTTGTCATCAAAATTTCAACAAATCATTGATGTAAATTCAAGAGTATGTGAGTGAAAAATTTAGGGTAAAATGTAGGTATGTCTTCTTGATTTTTATTCTCAAAAATTGTTTGACTGTTAAGAACCTGAGGGAAGAGTTCCTATGAAGGGTATCTGTTAAGTAGAGACAGACAAGGGTATACCTAAAATAAAATTTAGGAAGATTGAAGCTATAACAAATTTCCTATCGTTAGGTACTTCTTTTCAATTCAAAAAAAAAAAAAAAGGTTTAATCAATGCTTGCAGACAAAATTTTCTGGCTGGCGGATGAAAATTTCTCGAATCACTTGATAAATTTTTGCAAAGATGTGTTATACCTCCATGAATAATATCACTTCATTACACAACAGAGTAGTTACATAAGAGCATGCTAGAAGAGATGATGAAAGCAATTCAGCAGATCTTGAGACTTAAGAGATAGGGTAGGGACATACAGACAGCAGAAAGTACGAGTAAGTAGTGGGTATCTAAAAAGCAGGAGTACCAGCTGTTATTGTTGTTTTTCTTGATAATGCTAAAAATCTTCCATTATGTGTTAGTTTTTTAAAAGGCAACCAGACAAAACATCTTCTTGAAATTCTCTGTAAATAAATGTGAATGAGTGAAAGAAATTCACAGAGACTTTCAATGAAAAATGAGAGTGTTCTTTAAAAAAAATAAACATTTTGAAAAGTCACAATCGAAGATATGCATTTTTGGGCTTTAGCCATGAAAATAGACAATGAAAAATTGGTCCGAATGGGAAAATAGGAAATAAAATTTAGATTATGGAACGACAAAAAAAAACTTCTGTAAAGCCACTGCCCAAAGAGGGGTAACCCCAGCAGCAACGGTTGTAAAAAAAAAAAAAAAAAAAAAA